AAGGTAACCTTATCTCACAGCACAACACAACACATCACAACACAACACGTTTATGTACCTTTCCGACTCGAATACGACGAGCTCTCGAACTCAGACTGTGGCGCTATAAGGAAGTGTGTCCCGTGTGTTGCCGTGGAAAGGTTAAAAAACTTTGTGGCAACAACAACAGCAACAAGACCAATGACAACGGCAGCAAAATGTATCTGAGCAAACAACTGCCGTGCATTGCTACACATTTTGTTCCACTATCCAAGTGGTTGAGTGGTTGTGGTGTGGTTGACTGGCTGGTTCATTGGTTCGTTGGTTGCCTGCTGGGCTGGGATGGTTTTCAATGACAGCGAATTTGTTTACGCTGCGCCTAATGAGCCAACTTTATTTGTGCAGCGCAGCAAGACGCGACCGCAGCTCTCAAACTGAATAGATATCAATATGCAGATACAGATACGGATACACAGTCTACATATTTTCATAGATACAAGATACACACAGAGCAGAGCAGAGCCGCTTATGTGGCGCAATTCTTAAAATAGCCAAGCTAAAACTGCAAAGGATAATGCTGACATTTAGATTGTTAACTTGTTAGATCCCAGAGATGGTCTACAGAATCGTTGATTTTACCTACGAATTGCATCTTCTGTGAACGCTCAACAATTATTTCATTATTAGTTTCATATATTGCCAAATACTCAAATATTTTAATTTCGCCACAAATCCACTTCTTTAGAATAATTTGTAATCGCATTGCAATCTCTTACCACTTAGCATAGCAATTTCCTCTTTAAATCCTCATTTATAGCCCGAAAGCTTAACGTCGAAATGCTTATCATTTAAGAGAATTTAATACACACTCCAATTTCACTTGGTGGCTTATCGTCATCATAATTTCGTAGCACCTATATATGCAACTGTCCTGCCTCTGACACATACATACATACATACATATATTCATACATACACTCATACATACATATAAATAAATACAATTCAATAAAACGCATTTATCAGTTTTAAATAAGTTTGCTCAGTGTGGAAGTCGCAGCAAAAACCAAAAACAAGAAGCAAATCAATTCGCGCACTTAATGATAAAAACACAACTCAATTATAAACTTTATCAAGAATGGGGTAAATAAAAAAAAAAGTGAGGCAGAAGCGCGCAAACATTAAAAGTTTTTTTTTCAATGTTGAAATTGAATTAAAATTTTATGTCAATAATTGAAATTTACTTTATTAATGCCAATTCCCAATGTCTATAATGATGAAATGCATAATGATAATGATAAAATGTATACTGGCTGATTTTTAATGAAAATTTAAAAGCTGCTCGTTGATAAAAATGAGGAAATAACTGATTGATTGATGCTTAATTAAAGTTCTTTTTTTTATGGTTGAATAATTAAAATTGGTATTCGTAGAATTCGTTATATATTGAATGAGGATTTATGAATTGTATACAGGAAACGTAGAAAATTATGATATATGATTTAACTAAAATATTCTACAATCTTATAACCGTCATTCAAAGATAATATAGCTTAAAAAAAGCCATAAAAGAATTAAGTAAAACTTGATTAATGCCCCTTCCCTCTATGCAAACATGTTGCAGTAACTGCATTAATCAAAGTCGCGCCTCCGTTTGCATTGTAAACTGTAAATAAATAAAAAATACCAACAGTAATATGATTATCATAATATTTTTTTTTTTTTTCATGTAGAGTCTCTTTGGGTGACCGCAACTCATGCAACATAGTTAGCCAATGCTTAAATATGCAACGCGTAATCTGCAATCTGCAATCCGCAACTGCAAATGTTTCTGGATATGGGGCTGTATCGGTGTTTATATCAGCGCTCAGTTGTAAAAATTATTTATTGATAACGCAATTTAATGCCAATTATTTGTACACAAATATTTGTTTAATTATCAATTGCATGTCGCTTTCAATTGAGGTGCGTGGGTGGGCGTGGCATCAACTTGGCCGCATGATTAATGACTCGACACTGCACGCTCAAAATTGTTTTGCAAATCTTGTAAAATGTGCTGGCTAAACAAATCGTTAGACTTTAAAAAGCCAACCCTTGTGCTAACAAAAACCCCTCAACTGGGCCAACCCTTAAATCGGCATTTGTTTGCTCAGCTAATAGGCTCTGTCTCAACTTTTGTTCAGCATTTCGCTGGGTGTTAGAAATTTGTATGGCATTATTGTGCACTTATCGGATGAATTAACACGACAGAAGAGGGGTTGCCATTGAGCTTGGCCAAGGGGGGTTGGCTCTGGCACGCCTTCGCCCTTGACCGCAAGGCTAAATTGCAGCAGCATATGCGACAATTTTCTTTTATTTTTATTAGTAATTTAGTTTTTGGCATAATGCCTGATTAGAGTCAAACTAATATGCCGGAAATTTCACTAACTATTGGAAGTAGCTGGCTGGGAGTCGAGTGAGGAGCAGTTGCAGAGTCAGTTAGGAAAATGCAACACTAATTGCGTATTTACGCAACCATTTCCACAAAATCAAAATAAAATCAGGTACAAGGACACTGACAGATCCCCAAAACCCAACGGTCAGTCAGCTCTGTGTTCTTGTGTGAGTGAATGTGTTGTTTGTTATATAACGTAAACTATTTTGAAACAACACCAATCATAGTGCACACAGCTCACAATGTTCTGGCTGATGGCCAGCTCTGCAAACCGAAGTTTTCTTCTGCTCCCCTTGCTGGCCGTAAATGTTAGTTAAATGCACGTGGATGAGTAGATAAATATCGTATAATGAAAATAAAATAGGAAAGGGGTAACAACAATAACAACGCAGACAACAAGCAGCTGCAAGAACAACAGCAATCAGTCGCAATCCTCGTTGCAGTCATCGCACTAATTTGGAGCTACTTTTTTGGGGTTCATTTCGGATTCGTGTTGGCTGAGTACGTGGCCAAAGAAAATACACTTTAGCACGTTTCTTGTTAGCCAACAGTTGCCCGGCCATTGCATGATGATATACTTACCAACACATGTCCATACAATAAATAAGTGAACTGTTTGCAACTGCTACTCCAGACTCAGTTGGCGTTCTTCCAGACAGCCAGCTGAATAGTCCGTCGTTGTTTATTTTGGCATAGGTGAATAGTTCAAATTAAGGCGCAGACATTAGATGAAGAACAGAATTTCGACTATAAAGACTAGAAGGAGTACTTGTTGTGCAGGGAAAGTCTGTAGCGGAATGGGAAACTGCGCAAAAGCCTGTAGATCGAATCTAAGTTTATAGATGGAGGAGAATCTCAATTGCAGAGTAACATGACTTTAATTGCATTTATAAGTCGAATACTTTAAGTAAATTCGAACTATGAAATATAGTTCGGTCATAGTTATGGACACTTATGAAAGATACTTTCTCCTGATTCCTATAAGTAATTGGGATTAAGTTAATGATCACATAAAATATAGTCAAAAGTCGCGAATATTCGAATAAATCTTGTTAAAAAAAGCGTTTTATTTGTGTTCTCCTCTTCATGTTTCTCTTCGGAGTCGCCAAATTACAGCAGCCGATTAGTTGGTCATTGAGCAATGTCATCTAAAAGATCACTTAGTAATCCATCAAGACGGCAATAAATGTCAACACAAACATAGAATTGATGAGCAAAGCGTATGGGCCATAAAACGCTTACATTTTGTGTATTTGTCTATGATATAAATATGGTCGACCAATACTATGGGTACTTGATATAAAAAATGCATTATTTGGACATTAGGTGTTGGCCGAGCAAGTTATAAAAACCGAACGTTGAAAGGAATCATTTATATCATTTATTGAGGCAGCCAGAGACGAGACACCGATTTGTGTGGCCATAACAATTGAATATCAATGAGCGGAGAAAGACAGACAAAGGACAAAGGACATTATTGATTTTTCGGTCTTAAAGCGTAGATTTAACTGTGGCTTGAAAACGAATGTCAGTCAAGTCAACTAACTGCCTCCTTAATTGCTGCTCTAATGATGTGCCGGGCTAACCAGACCAGAGACAGTGCCGTCGCCGTCGCCGTCACCGTCGCCGCCGTCCAAGTTGATTATGAAGTCGAGGCCCCCGCCAAACTCAAACCCAAACCAAAAACCCAGAGACGAAGCCCAAACCCGTCTGCTGCTCAACTGGCTCAACACTCCATAATGATGGCAATTATAGCTCGTTTTTCCAACAATTTATATGAAATTTTGCAGCCAGGAGCGCCAGAATCAACGGGACAAGGCCACGCCCCCGCACACACCGCCACACGGCATTTTTTTTTAAGCTGCGGCCCCAGCAGCGACAAATGGCAACGCCCAGCATTTGTTGTCAGCCCGCTCGCACTCACATTGGTGCAAGCGAGTTGGCATGCGCTGAGCGCCTCCATCTTGAAAGCGTGCTGCGAGAAGAGAGCGAACGGAGAGCGAGTGGATAAGAGCAAGAGAGTGAGCAAGAAAAAGAGAGAAAGAGAGAGACAGAGAGAGAGAGAGAGAGCACAGCCAAGGTGCTAACGAGTTTTTTGGTGGTGGGCAATTAACCAGATACTCGACTGTACACTGAGAAAAACCAAGCAATTAACTTAAGATTAAGAGTTTCATTTTGGTAGGAATTTCGTAGGTATAAAATAGATATCTTTGTATGAATTATAAATACCTGCATTTTTCACATTATTTTAACAGTTACAATGTTTATTAAATAACGAATATGAGGTGAGTATATATTTGATAGTAATTGGATGGTAATTATATGAAATCAATTTCCACTTACACATAATTTTGGTATCGTTTTTTTCGCTCAGTGCACACAGCACAATCGCTGCCACACGACACGTCTCTCAGTGCGTGCCAGCCCACCCCAAAGCAACTGCTCTCAGTGCACGCACACAATCATCGACAGACGACGACTGGCTTGGATTGGAACAGCCCAATCAATGCCGATATGCGACTCTAATACTGACTATATGATACGGGCACGGGCCGGCGTTGAGCACAGTCGTTGATTAGCGCTCGTCGCGTCGAGTTCGCAGTCGCAGTGAGTCAACATTTTAGACGCGCGCTTTCCAACCGAAAAACGCAAGCAAATCGCTCGCAAAACAAACAAAAAACGCCCGTAAAGTGCCAAAGCAAATTGTCAAAGAACAAAAAGTATACAAAAACAATAAAAATAACAATAAGAGAGAATATTGTTATTACTGTAATTACGAAAGAGGCTCGCGCGTAGACAAAGCATGTCCAGTGCACAAGTGTCACAGCCACCGCCGCAGCCGTCGCCACAGCAGACGCAACAGACGCCTCACATTAGCCAGTTGCTTATTAGCCACATTGCCGCCGCCCAGCAACGGGCGACAACAACGCCACCCGCCGCTGTCGAAGCCGCCTCTGATTACGATCAGTGCAGCAACACTTCATCGCCCAGATCGAGTGGCAGCCACAGTCCAGCAGCTGCTGCAGTCGCCTCCAGTCCGACGCACTCATCGGCGACGACAGGTTCACCGCACAGCGCCTACGCACCCACACACAGTCCAATCGTAACGCAGGAAACGCCAACGGAACTCCAGCAGCAGCATCAGCAGCAGCAACAGCAGCAACAACAACAACAACAGCAACAACAACTCCATTCGCAGCTGACAGTTGCTGCACCCGTCATGCCACTTCTGGTGGCGCCCATACCCGTGGGCTGTCAGGCGACCGGAGTTGGCCCACCTCCAACACATCATCAGCATACACACGTCCCGCATCCGCGTCTCTACGTCGAGGGCAACTTTCCTCCACATCACATGCCACATCCTTTGGTGAATGGCGCTTATCCGCTGCCCAGGCTGCCACTTGCAGCGGTCATGCTGCCCGCCAATGGAGTGGTACCTGCAACAACGCTACCGCCGCCACCGCCAGTGCCCATTCCGAATGCCAGCTGCTCACCGCCCTCAACCACAGCACTGCAGCAGGCGCAGAGTCAGCCCAAGAAATCCTTCTGCATCGATGCATTGCTCGCGAAGAGTCAGCATCAGACTGGAGACAGACCACAGCCCAACACAGCAACTGATATGATTATGGATGATCATCGTTTGGCTGCATTGCACTATGCTCGGGATCAGGCGGAACTGAATCACGCCTTCGTGGCAGCTTCGAATGCGGCTGCGGCAGCGGCTGCCGCCGGCATCAGCGAGCAGGAGGCACTGCAGCGGATACGCGAGTCGCGGGAATATGATTCACCCAGTCCCGACGGCATGTCCAGGTGGGTTTCAGATTCATTTATTTTGACTAATTAAAGATTTTTAAAGAGTTATATTTGCATCATTTATGAAAGCCTATTATTAATTGTCTGAAACAGATTCTTACTTGAAGAATGATTAGAAATAAAAGTATTTACTGTATTTAAATATAGAATAGTTTCTTGAAAATTATATTACAACTTTTTCTAATATTTAAATTCTTTAGTTTTCATGTTATATGTGATGAACTCTTTAGATAATCGCAAGCAACATTTTAATAGAATTTTAAAAAGCAACATTAAGATAAGTTTTAAGGTCTCAAGATTGGTTTCAGAAAATAATTGGTAAGCCTTTTGCAATTACGCAAGTTGTGAAAGATGTATTCCTATTCTCGTACGTGAATTATTTAACACTTTTAGCAATTGTTTTTACCTCTCTAACCATTAACCGATGGTAATTCCACAATGCAGTAGCTTTCTGTTAAACCCAACAAAATGCCAAGCGGGAATACCAAACAATGCTATTGGGCTTTAAAGTAGCTTTGTTGGCACTCGACACAACATGGCCGAAAAGCTAACAATGGAGTAGAGTAACCTAAACTGGTCACGTTGCCATCATTATGATTGCGATTGCGTATACGCCCGGTGTGCGGCCCGATGCGAATATGTTTAAGTGTGCGAGGTGGCAAAGCAAACAAATTAGTTGTGCAGCCAGTCAGCGTGGTTTTAATTGTTTTCAAAACTGTCGCGTAACCTGAATTTGTCTTGTTGATGCTAGAGCTTTGTTAATTGTGGTATAGGGTGTCCTAATCAATGTGCAACTATTTTTTTTTACAGATCGGAATCTCCCAGCTCATCGCATCGCTCCAGTCCGCCCATCAGTCCCGGTTGTGAGGATCAGCAGCCACAGCATGCCCATCATCCTCCACATTTGGGTGTTATACGCATTTCCGATTTCCATGATGAGTTCAAGAAACCGATGACTCCACACAGTCCCATCCGTCCACAAGATTTCCCACTCTATGCGGGCGGGCATCCGTATCAGCTACTGGCGCAAAGTAACTCCGCTTTTCATAGGCCACTGGATCCGTCTGGGAAGCCCATACCGGTAAGCATCAGAGCTGCTTCAAATATTCGGTATATTCAGCTAAAGCAACACATTTCTGTCTTCCCATTTGCCCTATTGCAGATACCAATGGGTCACAATTTTATGCCATCACAGCTGCAGTTTGAGTTTCTGGCACGCGCCGGCATGCTGCATCATCGCATCCCAGAGCTGGCCGCCTATCCGCATCATGCCATATTGGGCAAGACGCGAAGACCCCGCACCGCGTTCACCTCCCAGCAGCTGCTCGAGCTGGAGAAACAGTTTAAGCAGAACAAATACTTATCCAGGCCCAAACGCTTTGAGGTCGCCAGTGGTCTAATGTTGTCGGAGACACAGGTGAAGATTTGGTTTCAAAATCGACGCATGAAATGGAAGCGATCCAAGAAGGCGCAGCAGGAGGCCAAGGAGCGGGTCAAGTCACAGCAGCAGCAGCAACAACAAAATGCACAGAGCACCACCAGCTCCACCAGCAGCACCAGTTAGTTTCGCTTGGAGCGGCAACAAAAACCACTTCTAGTCATGCCATGAACAACAACCCGTCCGCCTGGTGAGACACCCTGTATGCGAATCGCCAACAACCCCCCGCCCCTTAATACCACAACATTTCATGTGATTGCGCAAAATTAGCTTCGCAATTAGTTGAAATTATTTTGGTCATTGTTGTTGTTGTTGTTGCTGTTGTTGTTGTTGCTCTGATTTTGTGTTGCTCGATGTGGGAATTGATTTCGCGAGCAACAGCCATAACAACAATAACAACAACAACAACAAAAAAACGCTCTGTGTGATATATGTAAACAAGAAAAAATATAAATTAGACACTGCTACAAAAAAGTATTTTCCCATGTACATAAACATACACAAACATACCATAATTAATTTGAATTACGTTAAATATGTGTAATACAACAAATACAATAAATGAGATTAGTTTAGTTTAGTTTAGTTTTGTGTGTAAATTGTGTAAATAATTGTAATTATGTAATTTTAAACAAAATGCCGCCATCAATGGAGCGTTAGTAAATTTTATTAAATTTATTTTCAAATTTTAAATGAGAAATAAAATGTGCTCTACAAATTGCAAACGGACTTCTCAATTGCTGAAAATGTTCGAAGAATTGGTAAATTTGGTATGCAAAAGTTGATTAAATTCCAAGAGAAAGAAATATATTATCAATGGAACCTATTGCTTTAAATCCACAAAAGTTATTCATGGATACAGGGAGTTTAACATAAAACTCTATTGAAAAAAATACATGCCTAAATTCCGATTAGTTATTAACTTAGAACACAGACGGGTTCCAAGAGTTTCAGAAATCACATGAGTGCTCTTGAAATCAAAAGCTCATTATTGTGTTTAAGTTATTTTTAGTGGTATATTTCAATCAGCTCTCAATTGGATTTGATTCCTCAAAAACAAGGTACTCATACCTTTCTAGCCCCTCCAAAACAAAGTATCTAATCGCCTAGCATTTTAGAGCTATCTGTGTATGCCCCCCTAAACTATTAATGGTGTATTTATAAAAGTCATATATATATTATATATATATAATATATATGTATATACACAATTCAAGTACAATTTTTCAATTTTATACGACCATCGCTAGCTGATATAACTTATCACTGCAAATAAATCAAATGCGCGGAGATAATTTAATCAATTTAATTGTTCAGACAATAATTATGTCTAAATTTATAATGTCACTTAAGAATTATTTCGTTAATTAAAATGTAGCTTTTATTGACAACAACTACAATACGAAAAAATCAAAAACAAAAATCATATTGAGCCTCAAAATTAAATACTCGTAGGAAAAAAGAAATAAACCATTCTTGGGTTTATCAGGGGTAAAACAAAAAAATTTCTGATATGTGGCCTAATCGAAGCTAATGGCTAATCAAAGGTGGCAACATCGAGAAGGTGCTGACAGTATTTGGAGTAATACCTGATAGATTGAATGGCCAACAATCAAAGTTAATTGGGACAAAGTCCTTAGATTGCGGCACGAGGTAATAAACTTTTTTGTTACATTTTATTATTTTTAATTGAATGTACTATCTAAAAATAATAATTCGTAATCCTTGTTATGTGCCGAATATAACAACATAAATAACATCTCTGCCTAACCCTCTGCAACCTCAGCAAACACCCAAAACAATTAGCTATTGAAGATTATAATCGAAATGAGAAATAAACGACGATTGTGACTAGTCTCGAATATTCCCATATTCCGTGAAAATTCAATAGAGGCAATAGTCTGGCCACTTTATCACGTAATTCTCAAGTATCTATGAGCGCGACCGTAGCTCATAGACATGAAACGCATATAGGAAGGGAAAGAGAGAACTCTGGCTTCGACGGTGGGGTGGGGCATGCCCCGAAGTATGCTTTATATTGTTGTTATTATTGGTTGTTTGATATGCTCGTGTTGTTGTTGTTATTATGCAGCAGTTCTTGTTGTGTTGATTATGCGACTGATGGGCTAATAAAAATTCATTCCTTACCCGCCAGACACTCACGGACACTCACCAAACACGTAACGCATTGCGTCAACAAAACAAGAGGAGCAGAGGGGAAAAGGGAAGAGTCGGCGAGAGCTCACTATTCATTGAATGTTTTTCTTCGGTTCTGTTCTGTTTTCCGACAGTGGTTCGAAAATAAATGCAAGCAATTAATTTTTAAAAAGCTGGAGCAAATTTAACTTAGTAAATAAATATTGAAAAAATTGGTGTGTTGACTGTGGAAAATTTTGAACCAAATGAGGATATAATCAGAGCGTGTATTTCTATCCACAATAGCATTTATAACTTTGCATATAGTATTAATAAAGAAATCAAACCATCATCAAAAACTTCAGGTTTTTGAAAATCTGTGCATTTTTGACAAAGTTACGGAAAATCATTTTCCGCTCTTATGGCACTTTTTGGGAGTATATAGAGTATATAGAGAGAGTATATAGAGTATATAGAGAGAGTATACAGAGAGTTCAGAGAACATGAATTTCGAGCTGAAATCGCGTTTCAAACTCTGAATGTAGTATTATTCTGGTGGTAAAGCCATTGTTAAAAAGTCATAGTTTTTGAAAATTGCTTAAGTTTTGGCAAAGTTGTGAAAGTTCTTATCCGTCTTGTAACACTTTTTGAAGGTATAATTTGAACATGAATATGGACCTAGAATCGCGTTTGCAACTTTGAATGTAGTATTAATATAGGGGTCAAACCTTCTTCAAAAAGACCTGCTTTTTGCAAATCGGTTGAGTTTTCACAAAGTTATGGGACTCAGCAGCCTTGTGATGCTTGCCATCTGCACAGTTCAACTGCATGCCATGAACTATATGAGCTAATTGTGATCAACTTCTAATATACCATCTTGAACCAGTGTGCAGTGGCCTGAGGGGCTGAAGTGACTGCTGATGCTGCGCTATTTTGATATGATGCCTTGAAGTGGCCAAGTGTTGAAGTTGAACCTGAATCGGAGCACAAAGGATGTCACAATGGGGAATGCCAACTGTCTAATTCAATTCATGAGCTATTAGCGGGTAATTTGTAACAATTGCACAGCACAATTTCCTTTCAACAGGCTGAATAAAAAGGGTGACAGAGTTCAAACCAAAAACCGGAGCGACAACTGGGTTTTGAGTTTTGTGTATTGCTTAATTGTCGGATTGAGCGCTGTTTGGATTTTGGATGCTGTCGCATCTGTTGCAAATTAAATTTGAGTTATAATTTTCTATAAACAGGCACACAATAACCAAAGACTTTGTGTGTGTGTCTGTGTGTGTGTGTGCACACCCAGTAAATTGCCATTTGAATTGAGGGTCGCATCCCCCTCTCATGACTTGCCACCAGTTTAGCTCGGCCGCTGTTGCTGTTGTTGCTGGTGTTACAATTTGGTTACCCTAGGGGTGTCTGCATACCCGTTGATCTTCATGTCAACACAGATGATCACATTTTATGCTTATAATTGTGTATGTGTGTGTGTGTGTGTGTGTGTGTGTCCTCCTGGCCCCTGGCTCGATGTGCGCTATTTACTTTTGTGATTTTGGGCATCCATCGATTTTTGCTAATATTCAAACGGCTTTGGCCAAATGCATTTTTGCCCATTTTCCACATTTTACGCATTTTCCGCACTTTCCATTTGATTTTATTGTCAAATATGTGCGATTATTTGTCATATGTTGCATTTTATTATTGTCAAATTTGCATTCGCCGCGAACAACAACTGAAATCGCTGATATCGCTCGTTAGTTAGTTGCCCCGTTGTCTAATGGCTGTTTGTTGTTTGGCAAGGGAAGCAGGGGGGGATTGATTGTTTGGCATGATAAATCGCGAAACTGATATGACAATTTATGTGACAATTTTCATTTAATTACAACATATTTCTTTGATCCAAATTACAAATGAAAAATGTTCCGAAACTGAATTTAAATGCTTTGAATCGAATGGCTTAAAAGGATGCGTTTTCAAAGGATTGAATTTGTTTTATGTTATTAGGATATATTTTTAGATACTCAAAATATGGGGTGTATACTTTTATCGAAATAATATATTTAAACAAAGCTAATAAATATCATAGAAATTAATGAAAATTGCCAAATTCTTTTCTAATAATTTTGTAGGTAGCACTCAGTAAAAATCGTAAATTTGCCCAGCCCAGCAATTAATTTATTGATTTATAAATCACACACGCATATGTAGATAGACAAAAACTACAACGCATTTTGCTGCTTAATGCCATAATTTCCAACTTGTTTACACAATCCATCTGGCTATATTTTCCAATACACAGACACATGTCAATGCCCGTTAACAATCATCAGTCCAAGCCGTAGTCACAGCCATCAATCTATTGAAGAAAATCCGTGCGTGCGCGCAAAGTAAACAAAAATGCACACCAGAGACAAAAAGACTGAAAGACAGATACAGAAACCGGCAAAAGGGCCATTAGTTTACTGTGCACACTAACACACACACACACACACACATACACTCATCGATATGGTTTTGGACATTGGCAAAGAATTTGTCAAATGATTTCGATTTAATCGCCAGGAAATTTTGCAATCAAAATTCACGAATATCAACGCTAATTGTTAGCGATGCAGTCGAGCCCAAAGCGCATTAGATCCCCCAGAGGAAGAAAGGGAGACAGAGATAGCGATAGTCGCTGTCTGAGGCAGTTTCCATTGGGATAGACCAAATTGTCACCATATGCGTCAACACGCAATAATTCACCAGAAAAAGTAATCCAAACAATTGACCAGACGAAGCAGTGACATCTAATCGAGGGGGTGTGTCTGCTCTCCTCCTAATTCTACGATTCTCTGACTCGGCCTGAATGCCTGCCTGCCTGCCGGCCTGAATGGCTGTCTGCCTGCCTGCCTGCAGCAAGTGCGGTACACCCCTCGGCTAGTGCTCTCCCCCAACGAATGCTCGAGCTCAAATTGTGCTATCTGGTGTTTTGGTGCTAATTGAATTCATTGCCGTTGATCAAGTGCTGCCAAACAACAAATCATCCCCGGAGGCTAATGATACGGACGAGTGAGCTAACTGACTCACTGACTGACTGCAAGCAGCAAGCAGCAAGGAGCAAGGAGCAAGGAGTAGACACACCAGAGGGTGCAATGGCGAACACGGTGAGGGGTGCAAGGATTGCGGGTGGGCTGCTAATGGCGGGCTCTGCTTCCTCCTTTTGTGTATGAGTCTCTCGATGTGCGTTAAATGAAATTAGAAAACCTTATGTTCAGTTAATTAGCAAATTTAAGAACATTGTGAAGA